GGGGTATGTCTGTAATGTTCTCTTTCTCCATTGCTAAGTGTCTGTAAGGGGAGGGTGGGGAGCCGTCAAACCTCGAACTTAAAACTTACACTCACTATTTTTTCTTCGAAAATATATGTGAGTTCCACAAAAGACAATATTTTAATGCACCGATTGAAACTCCAGTTCCTTACATACCGCAAGATGATCTTCGAAAAACAATTATACAAATTTATCATGACACCGCAGCAAATGGCGTTCATTTTGGAAGGAGTAAAACTTTGCATAAAATTAAACAACGTTATTTTTGGCCATCTATGTATAAAGATATTGAAAATTATATTAAATCCTGTATTCTATGTACTCAATTTAATCCTCATCGTCAAAAAACTCCTGGTACTTTACGACCTATTAAACCTCCTGATGGAGTTTGGCAATTAGTAGCAATGGATTTTCATGGACCTATTACTCCGACATCTCAACGTGGAAATAAATATATTATATCTCTTACAGACGTCTTATCCAAATTCGCTGTTACAAAAGCTGTACGTGATAATACAGCTCAAACAGCTGTTCAATTTCTCAAAGAAGATATTACTTCAAAATTTGGAACTCCTCGTTGTATCCTGACTGACAATGGAACACATTTTACATCAACATTAATGAATGAATTAATTAAACAAATTGGAGCAACACATTTATATTCAACATTACATCATTCTCAAACAAACGGTCAAGTTGAAAGATATAACTCAACTATGAATGCAAAAATTGCAGCATTGTCAAATTTAAACAAAACCAATTGGGACGATCAATTATCATTTGTTACATTTAATTACAATGCTTCAATTCATTCATCAACAAAACAAATACCATTCTAAACGATGTATGGTCGATTACCTGTTTTACCATTCGATCACCAAGATGTAAATGTTACACTTATAAATGATTCAGAACATGCGAAAAAGCTTCAACAATTTTTATCAAAATTATAAATCATACTGACCCATCTTATAATGTTGGTGATTTAGTCCTTGTTAAAACACTTAACATCCGTTATAAATTCGATATTCGTTACGAAGAACCATTTAGAATTATTAAAAAACTTACATCAAAAACATTCATTATTCAACATGTCAAGAAACCAACATTATATCGTCAAGTTACAATTGACGTATTACTTCCAATATTTGAACGAATTTATTAACTATGGGATCTCTCTGACGAAGAGATCCGTATCATTAATTTATATCTCAATTTAAATAAAATAATTATTTATTATTAGATTAATCTAATTTGGTCATATTGATTATTCAACATCTGACGGCATATTACATCAAATTATTCAGATGGCAACATCATCAAATCTTTTTACATTAAACACAGAATCTATAAAAAAATTTAAACAGACAAACAAACCTGTTCTGGTTCAAATACAAATATTTCTACCATATAATTTATCAGCAATTTTAATTTTTGAAATGTGTCTTTTACCATCAGAACATACAATTCAATTTACACTGATGAAAAAATTTTTTGAAATTTTATTCAATGATAAAAACACAATATATATATGGGGTGAAATTAAAGAATTAATTTTATTTACAAATTATAAACTATTTTCTGAAGCACAATGTCATTTAGCAAATGTTCAAAATTTACAAAATATATTTAAAACTGAATGGCAAAAATTGCATCCACATATATTATCAAATGCATCATCTAATGATTTATCAAATGATTTACCACATGAATTTACAAATAAATGTTTATGTGAAACATGTATTAATATATCATCGCACCCCTGGGGTCTTCAAGATGCAGTTGCATTTCAATTACAGGAGTGGCTGGACAAAAGACATTCAACATCATCATTTGATATTGGATTAGATACAAATGTTTTTCACATGAATGAACTTGAACAACAATATCGTAATCAATTAACAACATACGCTGCTAATGACTATCTTTCAATGCAACGAATATTAATTAGTCTTAATTTGATTCAATTCAATTCTCGTCATTCATCAACACATTCTTATCCAACATCTACAACAACAAATGCACATCAAACTCATATTGAATTTGAACCATCATCTGATGAAGATGATCTATTTACAATACAAACAACAGTCAATAAATCAAATGCATTTATTCTTAATCATGAATTATTATCCGAAGATATTCAAGTAAATACACAACGATCAGTTCAAATAACATCAACCACACAAATCTTAAATCAAGAAACAAACAATGATCGAACAAATCAACTAGAATTAAATTTAAATATTTCTACAGATAATCACCAAGAAAAAATTAATGAATTAAGTCGTGAAGAACGTAAAAGAATTCATAATCGTAGTTATACATTAAAACAACGCAAAAAACTTTATCAACATGAAATTATTATACATTATATAGATCATCGTTTCACCATCACAAATATAAAAATGATTCTTCGACAAAATTCAGTTGCATTTTCTGCTGTTAATACATCAATATCATCCCGAACAAATCGTCGAACTCTATACATTGGTACAAAACACAAACATTTATTATCAGAATATAAACAACAAATTAAATACTTATTTACAACTGAACATTATAAACAATTTAAACGATTTAATAGGTCATCTTGTAAAGATGATCGACGTTCACACCACCATCGTGACACACATCGAACGAACTGAACATAATGTGATCAAATATATATATATATATATATATATATATAATTATTCATTGTCTGATCGTTACATTCAGATATAGATCTAGTCTAATCGTAATGAATTTGTTCATTCCATATATCTAGTTTATCGTTATATATTTTTTTTCTATGACACATATCTATGAAAACATTATGTTTTGTTATTTCACGTGATATTTTCTTTTGTTTCTTTTGCTGCCTTGTTATATTTCGTTATTTTCTTTCCTTTCGTTATATTATGGATTATCTTATTAACTGAAGGTTTATATTCTGTTATCGCTATCATTTTTCTTTTCTTTCCTTCACCTTCTATATTTCAACTCTTGCTGATATATTGAAAATGTTAATAGGACACATTTTTTTCGAATAGGGGAGTATGTTAGGATGATGTCGTTGGTTGTCGCAATCACTTCTTTCATATTATCCTCTACCTTATTTCATCTCTTTGATCTTCTCTATTGGTATATTGTTTTCTTTCTGTTCTTCTTATATCTACATATATGATATAGTAAAAAGGTATTATTGATATAATAAAGAAGTGCACATGAACATCAGCATGTAAACAGATAAATAAAAGAAAGAGAACGAATTTAATAGATAGATCTAACACCCTGCATTTATAAATCTAACTTTTCTATTTCGAATGGAGGTGTTTATCTAATCAATCGACATGATTTACAAGCTAGTCATAAATAATTAGTGGAAACTGAAACTAAAGAAAAATGTAAAGTATAATATTGATATGCGATAACATTTCATTAATTGATTTATTTTTGTCATTAAGCATGATCAATTCATGATTTTATTCCATCATCATCTGTATTAACTAAATTAACTGCTGCTGAACTTAGTCTTGTTTATCATGGTGTCCGTCATAGTCATAATTATGTTAGCCAATCATGTACCGTTGATCTTTTGGAGAAAATTTTCAATGAAACTGATATTGGACAAAATATTTCTTGTGGTAAAATAAAAACATGTGACCTAGCAGTAAATGTTTTTGGTACGATAATCTCATCTCTTGATATAAAAACATTTATCTAATATGGAATAATATAAGAAACTATTCAATATCTTGGCGTTAGAAGATGTTTATGCTTAATATTCTTTACACTTTGTTTTACAGTTTGCATTTAATTTTTAGCTCTTTTTTTTTATTTCTAAAATTATTGAATAAATAAACAAATCTTATTTTTATTCGTTATCATTTAATGGATTCAACAAAGGAAATATCAAGATATTTCCATTCACTATTAACTATTTTATGCTTCAATCTGGTATAACAAAATCTGTACTAGAAGTAGTTGAACAACTTCGTGAATCCGCTGAACATATTGTTGCTGCATTACGTGATGCATTAAAACAAAATAAAATTGATATTTGGCAAATGACTTCTAACAGTGTTGATAATACCAATACAAATTACGGTCGACACCATTCAGTATTTAGTATAATAAAACTGGAAGTTTTTGAATCTGTTAAAAGATAACAATATACTTTCAAAACAAAAACGAGCAGTTCTAGAAATCTATCGTTTTCTTTCTTATCAGAGAATTGATACTCTCACATCTAAAACAATTTGATCAAAACTTCTCATCAATATCTTCTAGTTGATGTTGAATCACATGTAGCTCAATTATACAGTCATTTTAGTTCATCATCATCATCATCAAAACGAGTTGCAAATCTCAAAGAATAGTAAGTATAATTTATTTTTTATATCTTATACGAATAAGAAATTGCTATCTGTTTAGTGCTTATTACAACATATAAAAAATTTTGTTGGCTAATCTCGTTTATATGAATAGATCGATTGTAGAACGTTTATGAACCATTATTTGGATATTTTTCTAACATTAATGATATGAATGAAGATACAACAACATGCCCATCAGTGATTAAGGATTTCTTCTCATCTAATGTGGCTAAACATAACAGATAATCTAGAATAAATGGCCATGTTTTGCATTTTATTTTTTTCATCATCTAATATGTTTTATTATAAAGCAAAATATACCACAAGATGCAGCGTAAAAAGTTCTACAATTTACATAAAGTCGTTTATTTTATAGTTGCACTTTTCGTTTTTACAAGAGGCAAAATTTTGAGCGATCAAATTTCGACCGTGCAAAAATTCATCACATAGAATTTTGCTTGTTTTTTTGAAAACAATTACAATAAGCTTTACTCTGTAAATTGTAGAGTTTTTCACGCTTCATCTTTTGTTACATTTTATTTCTTTTTTTTTTGAAGAGAGATTAGGTGATAAATAGATAAAATTTAAAAAAAAGGAATTTCTTATTCGTGTAGAAAAAAATGATTGTTTTCGTAATGACGAAAATTTGTCTCACAGAATTTTGCTTTTTTTTGAAAACAAAAAGTACAATTATAAAATAAGTACTCTTATGTAAACTGTAGAAATTTTCATGCTGCACGTTCTAGTATGTTTTGTTTTTTTAATACAACGTGTTTACAGGTAAAAAAAATGAAACGGAAAGTACGGCCATGTATTTTGGGTCATCTGATATATTATATTTTTTACATAATATTTTTTTTTATGTTTAAATGAAAAACTTAGATCTTTAACAATATAATACATCAATATCTGATTTACATCGGATTATAACAATTTTACTTCAAAAGCTGAATGGTCGATTAGAGCAAAACTATTTTGGTTATAATACATGATTACTAAATTCAATGTCAAAAGACAAACAAGAATAAGTAACATCTTCGTTTAAAACCTATTTGTCAAATATTATATAGAACATTCATTATTAGCTGGAACATTTTTTATTTTTGGTATATCTAATATAAGCAAATATGAAGAAATAAAAACAATTCTTTTATTTTAGGAATAACTGAAATTGATCAAACCACATTCGTTCAAATTGAAAAAATGTGTTGTTATTCTAAATCTTCAACTAGATCATAGTAGATTATTTAAAGAAATGATTAGTTTACAATTAACATTCAAAGATATAAATTCTTATCGTGAATTATTGTTTGTTCAAATTGAAAAGTATCTTGCTGATCATGATATTAAAGAAACAAATAATCAATAAAAAATTTATAGGACCAAATGATGAAGAAGCATTTCTTCATAAGCCACTGACATAAAATCATCAAAATAATCATCATAGAATTCGACCAGATCAACTGTAGTCTTATTTAATTGCAAAAACAACGACAGACTGTAAACAAATGACAAAATGGATCTCTCATATGTTAATTCAATTCCTTGTTTCAATGCATTTATAGAAGGTGTTTTTAGTCACATGAGGCATGCGTGGACATATAGTCGAAATTCAATATCCACTGAAACTATAGCTGTTGAATTACAAATAATGTTGAACTGTTAGATGAAATGTAATGAGTTTTCTTTTTACATTTGTTCAAAATGAACCTAAATTAATCAGATATGCTCGACAATCAGAAAAGTATAGGCATATAAAAAAAACCCTGTTGTAGCTAATTTGATATTTAACATATTCTTAATGTAAAATTTTGTATTTCTTTTATTGATTAAATTGTTTTTACGGTTATAATTTAACTGTAAAAGTATTTTGTTTTTGTGAAAAAATAAAAAATAAAGTTGTTTTCTAATAGAAAAAAAGTCAAACAGAATGTTGTTTTCTGTAAAAGAAGTTTTGTTTAAATGCCTTTTTCAATAAGCTCTTCTATTTCAGAAAAAAAAGTTATGTATTCCAACGATGTATCCCATTATAAAAAAAAATATATCCAGTTTCAGGATTAAAATTTAGCAGCCCTGGTTTGGTATAATCACATAAGTATCATTAAGCCGATATGTAAACAACGCTACTATATGTGACACTCCATTCACTTGATTTATTTTATCAAATCATATTTATTGCTCGTCATCCTATTATCACATTATAAGTTAAAAGTGCAAAAAAAGCATTTTGATATAATCATACGAGCATCTTTAAGCTGATATGTAAACAAGGCTATTATATGTAATAGCACTGTCATGTGATTTATTTTATCCACCCATATTTTTGCTTGTCCTTCTATTATCATATTATAAGTTAAAAGTGCACAGAAACATCTTGATATAATCATCGACCATTGATACGTAAATACGGCTATTATATGTAATAGTACTGTCATATGATTTATTTTATTCAACCATATTTTTGCTCATCCTCCTATTATCATATTATAAGTTAAAAGTGCAAAAAAGCATTTTGATATAATCATACGAGCATCCTTAAGCTGAGATGTAAACACGGCTATTATATGTGACACTCCATTCCCTTGATTTATTTTATCCAACCATATTTTTGCTCGTTGTCCTATTATCATATTATAAGTTAAAAGTGCAAAAAACATTTTGGTATAAACATGTGCTCATTGATACGTAAACACGGCTATTATATGTAATAGTACTGTCATGTGATTTATTTTATCCAACCATAGTTTTGCTCGTTGTCCTATTATCACATTATAAGTTCAAAGTGCAAAATAAGGACATGTGATCCCCATATTTTCTATAATGTGGCAACGAACCGTGACGGCGCACACTGGCAACGTATATATTCCCTGCTCCTATTCGGTTGAAACACATTAAGCAAGTATCACCTTAAGTGGAAAACATATTATTTGTGAAAGATATACAAAACAATAGATATGTATTATCTACAATCATGGTCAATAATCGTCATATTACTGTCGATCAATAATCAATTTCAAGAATGTAAGTATAGTAGACATATGCAATAGGTCTCTTACTTTCATTTGGAACATTATCTAATGTTCCATTATGTTAAAGCTTTTCTTAAGAAAACATTTAACTTTATTCCTTGAAAGATGATTTTTGAGTCTCGTAAACATTGATACATGTCTTCTTTTCAAATTATCAGTTAGTATGCGTAGCTATTGTCGTAAATGTCGCGTAGAATGAAACTTTGAGTATTAAGTTGCCTACAATTGAACATTTCTCGGTTTTATTCAGCTGCAGTCACTATCAACTGTAGTATGTCATTGGAGATAGAGGGCTCGACAAAATAAAGCAATATCAATACCTCTATCTTATTAAAAGTATGCTAGCATGCTGCTTTCGCCAATTCTTTATAGGAGTCAGCTCCTGTAATTATAATCCGTAATTAATTTTCATGCTAGCAGCTAAACGTAAGATAGCCAAAGAAAAGTTAAAATTAATGAGTAGAGTTAAAATACCGAAAGAAATCGATATTTTTTACTCGATATTTACGTATTACAAATATGTTAAAAGAAATCAAAACCACTGCGAGACTTATTCTAAACAGGATATTTATCGGATTCTTCAACTTACGATCCGTTTGTTCGAAGTAGTGTTATCAGAGCTACGAATGAAATGATGACGGTACATCATTCACCGCTCTACCGTAGTGCCAGTGTTACTACTAATAGACAACTGTGTTATCATTGCATTCTAGACTAGAGAAATATTTATTAGAGAAATTGTCATTAAACTTATTTCCTTATTTTTCAATTATATATTGTTTAGCCAAAGGTGAGCCAAAAGAAACAATACCAAAAAGGATCCTTCTAAATAAAGGACAAGCCAAGCCACCTAATGGCGGATCTTCAAATAACATAACATATCGTGGAGGACCTGTTATGCCGGGTAATATTAATGTATACGCCATCTGGTATGGAAATTGGAGTACCAATACTGCTATTGGTCTCACAACAGACTTTTTTACCAATGTGGGAAACTCTCCATGGTGGAGCATAAACGCCCAATATACCCAAAGTAACGGTCAGCATACCGGATCTCCAGTCTACGCCAGTTCAACAATGATTACCACTGGGATAAAGCCGAGCTTGTCAGACACAGATATACGAACTATTGTGGACAATTCCATTACGTCGGGCACGTTCCCAAGAGACCCAAATGGTGTCTATTTTTTATTAGCCTCTGCCGAAGTAACCGCAAGTAGTGGATTCTGTACGCAATATTGTGGTTGGCATACTTATTATACCAGTGGCACCACAGCAATAAAATATTCCTTTGTTGGAAATCCAGAGAGATGCCTAAGTGCCTGTGCACCACAGACCGTATCACCAAATAACAATCCGGGAGCAGATGGAATGATCAGTATTATTGCACACGAACTTGCTGAAGCAGCCACAGATCCCCAACTCAACGCTTGGTATGATCGATCGGGTGCCGAAAATGCTGATAAATGTGCTTGGACCTTTGGCACTACAAATACGCTGACCAGTGGTGCAAAGTGGAATGTGCTAATTGGAGCATATAAATACTATATTCAACAAAACTGGAAACTATACCCTACAGGTTGCAAGTTGAGCTAAGCAGTATTGGCACTATTGGAGCACTGAACTAGAACTATCGCTTATAATAATTTTTTCATTTTCATTCTTTGTTTTACTTTTGAATTTTCGGTGCAAAATAAATTTAACCATCTCGCGTTCGTTTTTTTCAAATACTTCTATAATAAATACTATATTGGAACTAGCTTATTTTACTAACATTCACTAATTAAACATTTTTTTTTCGCTGTTATTCACTTTTTGATGATTATCAATAATAATTAATAAAAAAATGAAAAAAAATTCATGTTACCTTGTGTAGAAATATGAATAAGCACGAGATGCCAGAAAAACCTTACATTGTCATCATACAAATATCAATAGTCATCTTGTTCTACTTGTCAGATATTCCAAATGAACCAAAGATCAAAAACAAACTGAATTAAACTCAAACTATTTCTTGAAAAAGGATATTGAATTGAACTGAACCTGAACTAATTTTCGAAAGTTAATCACAATATGAAATATAAAATTGCTTTGAATAATATTTATTTAGAATAACTTATATTTCAAGTAATTACATTCGTCATCTTCAGAGATGATCAAAGAATACATGATACTTATGTATATATGCATCGACAGGAAAGAAAAGAAAAAGAAAAAAAATATTGTCCTCTTATGTTGTTCTTTTCATCGTAATCACATGGTCAATTATACGACTACCATGAAAAAAACAATATAAAAGAAGAATATTTGTTTCTTTTTTTTCTTGCCTGTCGATGCATATATAGAGCAGATAGGGACCATTCTGAACGAATTTTCAAAAGTTAAAATTTGAAGTCTCATAAATTTTTGATTTTTTGTCAGTTTTGAGGACAAAAAAAATACTGATGTGTAGTCTAAAATATTCTCGACATATCTATTTAAAATATTTTGAAATAGATCTCCCAGAAACTCATCATTGTCTATTTTGCTAGAAGCACAAGGGGTGAATAGCGGAATCCTGGAATCCCGGAATCCTACATAATCTTGAAGTCTTCAGTCCTTAGATTTATTGTTATTGCAGAACAGTCTTTTATCATACGGAAACAGTTAATAGAACATCTCTAATAACATTTTTCATAGATACCTCATTCAGAAGCTCATGTTTTCAATCATGGCTACGCAACTTTATCTCTTTTAGTCTGTATTTTAGGTTATGATTAATAGACACATAATACAAAATAATGTAGCTTATAAGTATCAAAATCATGGAAGAAATCTTTGAATATGAAAAGGTTTTAAAAAGTTTCAATAGTAAAAGGAGGATTGACGATAATACCACTCCTACTTCGATACAGCTTCATGTATTTAAAAATAGTAAAAATAAAGTCTTGAAAATGAATTATCAAATAAAAAGCTTATCACTTGGAAATAAACAAATCTACAGTACATCCCATGTAAAAAAAAGGTTTTAAGAAATAATTAAAAATGAGATTAAAAATCGGTTATAATAGCACTATTATAATCTGGTTTTAATCAGATTTTTCAGCTCCAAAAGACAAATTTCATTTGATTTAATCTTTTTCAATCTACTTTAATCAACTAAGATCGACTTTTTATAATAAAATATAATTGATTTAATTTTAATAACCGATTAAAATAGATTTAAAAAGATTAAATGAAATGAAATTTGACTTTTAAGGCTGAAAAATCTGATTAAAATTAGATTATAATAGTGCCATTACAATCGATTTGTAATCTGATTTGTAATCTTTTTTTTTACATGGGATACTGAACTATAGAGAAGAAGTGCATATAAAGAAATAAATAAAAAACAGAAAAAATGTTATTTTTTATGTCTTTTTGCTGATGATGATGATTGTTGTGAATATGTTGGTATTAAGCTCGATGAAATACGTTTAGTACCTTTTGTCGTTGACGATGATGATATACTTGCTCGATATAATGAAGATGTTGGTGCATTTATAGATATTTGTGATAATGATTGTTGAGGTGTTGCTGATGAAGGAACTGGCGTTTGATTATTGTTATTACTTCCGACATCATTATTACTATTATTGATATAATTACGCAACATTTGATTTTGCTGAATGTTTCTTTTTTTTTCTCTCATCATAGAACATGTTAAAGATCTTAAATGTTTGTAAAAATTGGTAATTTGAAATTTATCACCCTTTTTTCTTAGCTTTATTTTAACACCACATTTACATCTTATTACACCTTCAACAACATTATTATTATCAGTTATAGTTAATGTATAATCAATATCTGGTTTTAATTCTAACTCATTAAAATTAAAATTTTCTTTATTATCTTGTACCCATTTCTTTATTAAATTATATACAAATTCAGCATGATTTTCTTGTGTTAATATTGATGATGCTGGATAAACTTTTGTTATTGTTTGTCTTGATCTTGGTTTTATTTTACCGTTTTCTTCTAATTTTGATAATAACAATTTTTTAAAATATTTAGAATCATTTTTGATAGCGGCTTTAACACGATATGTACCATCTCGACAAGAAAAAGAAACTTTTTGTCTTAAATCATCGAGTTCTTTTGAATCAATATCAAGTTCTATAACGACATAAACATCATGACATAATAAAAATGATGGTATATTATTTATTGCTTATATCTGCAAAAGATCAGCTGCTGTTTTATCTAATAATTCTTTGACAAAACCATAAAATTTCTCATCAGTAAACGACAATACATATTTTGGCAATTGATTTGCATCAAAGGGATGTGTTATTTTAACAATATTCATAATGTTGAATAAAGACTTTTATATTGAATGTTTTTTTTAAATTTTTATATAATCAAATGTAAGTGAGTAAATTAACTGATTTATATCAAGTCTAATCCAGAGAAAATCAAGTCAAGGCGGCGCTCAATACCATTCGCTATACAACTGACCTGTTACACATTGTTTCGTTCCCCTACCCTACCATCAACGCTGACAAATACATAGTTTTATTCGAACAGTAGCGACATCTAGTCAATTAATGTAGATTAGGTATCGGAATAAAGTTATGCATTCTGACGATCTTAACTTTTCGCACTGCTCTATCCTCTAGACTTGTTTTTGCTACTTTTAGATTTATATATTATTTATCGTGAAAGCTTTTAAAATGAATAACAGCAATATGTACAATTTATCGATATCACCAAACAATGTTTTAACATTGAAAGGTGATGAGTTTTATAAATTTGTACAATCGGTAGCGGGGGGGGGGGGGACCATTATATGATATTCTTAAAATTCAATCTATTAATTCAACACAATTATTATTGGATACGGATGATATATTTGAAATATTTAAATATGATTCACCTGATTTAATTGAAATTAAAAGTAAGTCATATTTTAAAATAAGTGGTGAATATGTGGTCAAAGCTGGGATAAAAAATAGTTCAACATATTTAACAACACGATTAAAAACAAAACAACAAACATTATTAAATAATTATTAATTGGTATGAACAAAATGAAAATATGAATATGAATAATAATAGTAATAGTAAACACTTATTTTTATCATCATTTATTGACAATATAACAAATAATCTTTCAAGATCAAAAAATAATTATCAATATAGTGATTCTGTTAAACGGTTCGCTCCATTATTATATATATTAGGTGGAAAATTGACGTACGAATTAGTACGAATAAATTTAGTTGGTGCACTGCCGCATTTGTCGACATTAAATAAATTAATATCAAGTACAGATCTTAGTATAAAAGAAGGTGAATTTCAATTTGATAGATTAAAACAATATTTAAATTCTACTGATGTACAATTTGGTTTTGCATCCGAAGATTGTACTAGTGTTATACGTAAAATAAAATATGACGTTTCTACAAATTCATTTATTGGTTTTTCGACACCACTCGCTAATGGAATACCAATTGCTCAATATTACCAAACTGACTCATTTGAAAAACTAAAGGATTGGTTTAGCACAATTAATAAAGCACCATTAGTAAATATACATATGTTTCAACCGTTACCATCAATTTGTACAACTTCATCAAGTCCATTTTTAATATCTGCATATAGTGTTGACAATACATTTACCGCAAATGATATTTTACGACGATGAATATTTATTTTTGAAAGTTGTATTCAAAAGCAAATCAGAATTATAGGTTTTTCTACAGATAAAATCTTATTTCTAAGTCTTTTTGATCTTGTTGTATATATAAATAAATGCAAAGTGTACTTTCTTTTCGTGTTTTTTGACAGATGCTGATAGTAAATATATGAGAGCAATGAGATTGATGAGTGGATTTTTTGCATCTTTACCAAATTTTGCATTACATAAACATCCAAATGCGTTTAACGTAAATTTAACATCAAAATGGTCTTGATTTTATCTTCGCTAAGAACAACTATTATTATTTTTACAAGATCCAAAACATTTGGTTATCAAATGGAGAAATCGCTTATTATCATCAAAAGCTCAACTATGTATTGGTCAACAATCAATTACCATGGACCATTTAAGAAGCATTATTGACAGTGAACAATATACAAAATTAGACCATAATTTAACTAAAACAGATTTAAATCCAAAAGATCGTCAAAACTATCGTTCATGTGTAAAATTAATATTAGATGATGTATTAAACATTTTAATGGTAATATAAATACACAAGGAACATTTGTTTATCTTCAACTTTTAAAATTAATAGTAATAGCATATATTGGAAAAACAACACCAATCAAAACACGTAAGTTACTAGAGTATTATACAATCGTTTCTAAAAAAATCTTCTTACTATAATATATGATATTTTTATACTTTCCCTGGAATAATAAAAGTAATGTTTTAGCGCACTTCATTATTTATGGTGGATTCAAAACTTAATCAACGAGGATATCAATGTTGTTCTTTTTTTTTGTTTTGATCATCTCTCAAAATGTAAAAGATCTAGAATGATGTGATTCCCGTCATTAAGAAAGTAATTATTTCTTCCATGCAGAGGAAGAAAAACTTTTATCTCATAGAGTTTGTGACATATGATGTAAAACGAAAAAAAATGACTTTCGTTAGCTCTCTAATTAATTTTGGGCTGATATAATTTCATCTTATAGGTTTAAAATCAGCATGGATCGTTGTATTTGTGTGTCGTCTGTGACAGTCATGGTTAAAAAGTAAAATATTCAGAGATCAATCATCAACATTAATAAACAAAGATAATAATAAAAATAAATATTTTATAACAAAAACAGCATATTTATCAGTTGAATTAAATCCACATAACTTACTGTATTTAATATTATTAGTCAAGCAAAAACAATTGCCAAAAGAATCACTAAACATTTATTTATCAAATTCACAATCATGTGAAGCTATGTTTCGTAATACACGGTCACTAAGTGGTGCTTATTCAACAATAATTAATTTTACAGTTCATAAATTCCTTCAACGAACTAGAAAGCTAGCAATACTAAATAAAATAAGATGCCATGAATTAATACGCCAAGATGATGGGAATATACTTTTTCCAATTCATCACAAACATAAAATTGACAATGATTTATTAGCAGTATCAAATTTAGATGATATTGGTTATTTTGATATAGAGCAAATTATATTTGAATCATATGATGCATCAATTAAGTTAATTGAAAATTTAGGAATATCAACATTATTAAAAAAGCATCGAATATATGAATTAGAACAATTAAGTAAATTTATATTTAATGAATTAAATTCAAAGTCAAAAACGTTTGATAATTCAGCAAGAACAACAAACAATAACGACGATGATGATAACACTAGTTGCGACGATGATAATTATAAATCAGAAAACAATGATGATGAGAATAACGATAACGATAATATTTCCGATAATGATGATGATAATGTATCTGATAATGAAGAGGATGAAACTATTCAATCAACAAAAACAATTTTTTTTGGAATACATATCAAAGATAAAATCAGTCCTTATTTGGTAAATTCATATTTCAAACTAAAAATTAATAATATCATTAAATATTTACACGAACAATCAGCATTATGGCTATTGCCTGAGAAAACTGATCGTCCATCGATCGACAGATTTTCACGAGTTATGCAATCAAGTAAAATTGAATAAAAAACGGCTCAAACATTTTTGAATACTGTTACATTAATTTCATGATCATTAATTTCGAAGCATGTCGAAATTCAATCATTAATAAAAGTAACTCATTGATGCTAATATATACTTAGAATTCTGTTAGAATAAATCAATCTAAATTTATGAATGGCTAAACGAAAAAATCGCGCTGTTTCTATAGCGAAGATAAGGTGATCATAAGAACTGCAATTTAACACAACAGAACTAATGAGTCATTGATATGTACATGTGTGTATCGGTGGTCACAAACGAATGACAAAAAAAAAAGAGATATCACCATGGATAACTGTTGTGACACAGATGGCGTCCATTTAAATGTTTTCAGGAGCTTACTGGGATCTTGAGGAATTCTACGAAATCCAAGGGAATTCTACGGGATCCAAGAGAGTTCTATGGAATCCTAGGGAAAGGTGTGGGTGTGAGTGTGGGCGTGGATGTGGGTGTGGGTGCAGATGTGGGTGGGTATGGAGGGTGTGGGGTGTAGATGTGAGTGGTTGTGGGTAGTGTGGAGTGTGGGGCGTTGGTGGAATGTGGGTGGGATGTGAGTATGAATGTTGGTGTGGGTGGAGTGTGAGTGTGGGTGCGGTGTCGGCGAAGTTTGAGTATGTGAATTCCGGTTATCTCTTCTTCCGCACCCACACCCACACACCCACACCCACGCCCACACACCCAGCCACCCACACCCACACTCACACCCACACCCTCAAAAAGTACTCACGCTAGAAAATGCCGCGAGAACTCATGAGTACTCAAGCCTTTTGAGTATTCACCAGTGGCACTCGTGCTAGAATTTTAGTATCTGAGTACGACCATCGAGTAATCGCGCTAGATTCTGAGTACGACCATCGAGTA